ACTGAGACGTGGTCCTTCACTGCTGGCCGTATGAGGAAGCTCAAGGTCGCTCAGCGAGCTATGGAGAGGGCTATGCTCGGAGTTTCTCTGCGTGATAAACTTAGGAATGAGGATATCCGCAGTAGAACCAGAGTAACCGACATAGCCCAACGGATTAGTAAGCTGAAGTGGCAGTGGGCCGGCCATATAGCTCGAAGAACCGACAACCGATGGGGAAGAAAGGTTCTCGAGTGGCAGCCTCGTACCGGTAGGCGAAGTGTAGGGCGACCCCCCACGAGATGGAGTGACGACCTGGTAAGACATGCAGGAAGTCGATGGATGCAGGTGGCTCAGGACCGTGCTTTGTGGCATTCCTTGGGGGAGGCCTATGTTCAGCAGTGGACTTGTGAAGGGCTGTAATGATGATGATGATGCGGAACTCTAATACTTTTTTAAAATAAAAGTAGCCTAAGTTACTCCTTACAGCATCAGCTATCTGCCAGTGAAAGTCCCGTTAAAATGGGTTTAGTCGTTTCGGAGATTAATCGGAACAAACAAACAATTTTTTTTAAAATTATGTTTTTGTTATAAGTACCGTATATTATACTTTCATATGCATTTAGAAAAAAGCTGTTCTTTTGACATTACAAACAGACATTTATGTGGCTGCCCTCTTTAAATGTTTTTTTAAAAGTATGTTAAGAGGGCAGTTAAGTTATTAGGCATTGTAAAATATTTATATAAGAAGTATCCCCAAATTTAGTAGCATAGTCTGGAACCTCACTATGCACTCGCTGTTTATGAATGGACTCATCCAGGAACGATTTCTGTCACAACTGCACACGCACTTGAGTACAATATTGAGATTATGATATCTCAAGATACGGTTTAGTTTTACGATATTAGCTGAGTGCCATATTGATTAATAAACGAAACTCGACTCTCAAGTGTGTGTACTTGAATGCAAGTCATAGAACAGTATTCCTATGTACAGTGTTTTGATATACTGTTTTATGTGTTTATTAATTAGCAACGACCTTGAAATGCTGATATCGTAAAGAGGGCGTATCAAATGATTACGCACTTGAGTTCGTCGTTGAGTAACGTTTATTAATACCATAGATAAATAAATATGTAGATTAATACGGGCCTAAGTTAGTGACATTTTTTTATAACTAGCTTTACAGCTCTGGGTTCTAGCCTTTCTGAGCCTGAAATTACAATGTATAATAATTATCCTCCATAGTACACTGCTTCACAATATGTGTTGATGCGTCACATTGTGCAGCCCTTGGGAGATTTTGAAGGCAACTTGAGCCAGCAAACAGCTGACAGTTGGTGATGGTATCTCAAGGCACCTAAGGAGACAGACACCTTATCTTGAGACTCACATCACCATCAGAGCACTTGTTTCACCGTTTCCACTAATAGTTAACATGCGCAGACACTTAATACACAAAATCGCACCACTTTTACATAATATATAAATCCACTTCAAACTATTATTTAAACAATAATACAGGAGCAGCAAACCGCCGCCGGTCAAGTTCCCGCCAAAACCTCAAGTTAGTAACAGCATGATGAAAACCACAGAACACTTTTTCCAATTATTCTTTACGGAGAGATGAAAACTATCCGCTCGTTTAGTGAGTGTCACTTGTGCATTTATGTCCTCTAGAAGTTCGTAGAGAAGAACTATTAAATTTTGCATTCCTATATAAGCTCATAATTACACACACACACTATTATATAATTAATCTTGAAAGATCACTTATAATATATTGTGTAATTAACGGCCCGGTGATTTTGAATTATTTCCCGGTCCCCAACGAAAGCTACAGCTACCTACTTAAACAAACAAACTAAATAGAAAAAAATTGACTACAATTTATATTCGACGACATTGAGCAATACAGAATTGAATATGAAGCAATCCTAAGCATCACGGCCAAAACAATTGCCGCAATTTTAGGTTATAGCACTAGATGTTTTATAAATATACGTATTTTAAAGATTGCTCCACTATCTTTAACAACAGTTGCGGGGCAATTGTTGCTCATGCAACATTGAGAGATGTTACATTTTGACAGAATAAGGATGACAAACAAGTACACAGGTTCATTGGCATTAGACATACCGCCATCTCAATTACTTCAAGCTGTGGCTCTTCTTTCTTAGCTCTAAACTGTGGCAACTCAAAGGTTTAATGCTTACTGTAGGATGTGAGCAAATTGTGTTCGATATCGGGGAAAGCATCAGGAATCTTTCATATTAAAAAAACAATTCTAAAATATCACATCTTACTTTAATTGAACTTTGATCAATGTATGTTCTGCTTCATAACTAAGTGATGGTACATCGTATTTGCTTCATGTGTACAGCTACTTAATATTTAACTTTTATTCATCCACTCATCACCTCATTTCGAAGTTTCTCGCTAATCGTTTTTTTTTTTATAGAATAATGATAAAGGGGCATACAAAATTGATCATCATTCCGTCAGCACAGTGCGATGATTATTAATATTTCTTTACTAATGTAGTAGCAAACTACATATAGTGGCAGCGTAAGAAAATCCAATACCAGATTATCATCCCGTGGGTGTCATATGTAGCGACAGAGGGAAATGACATAGGAGATGGCCAGCAGCTTCTTGATAACAACTCAGTAATAATAAGAAAAACTATAAAGAAAAAAAAACTTTGATTTCATATTTTATTCAAAAAGTATCACCACAATTTCAGAATGAAATATTGTCAGTCCTTGCCTAACAAAGAATACCATTTATGATAAATTACAGTAATGGACAGTGTAAAGGATCATGAATATTTTTATAACAAACCTGAAAAATTTACAGATGAAACTTGAAGTGATCCCTAATGATTGAAGGTCACTCATTTGAAATAAATAAATTTTGGTAATATTCAACACATTAAAACAAAGATTAGAAAAATAGTGAACTAGGTTATACAAAGTTTTTAATAAAATTAGGCAATGCAGTATTTACTTAGATGCTATCATAATACAATTTGTACAACACTACAAAACCGTAAAACATTCGTTGATGTATCTAAATAAAAATTCCATTCACTTTTAGTTTTAATGTAAATGCAGTTATTATATTGTTTAACATACATAAATATCTTTAATACTGAACATTAAAGATCAACATGCAATGGTTGAAGCGAATGGATATTTGATACAGTAAATTTTGCATTAACATAGACCTCTAGTCTTTTTGTTTATGAGAATTAATGGAATGAAATTTTAACAAAATGCACTGTATAAAGTGTACTTATGCCAGCATGAGCTTACATCACAATTTATGAGGGCACTGGGTTAATACTATTTACAAGTCTTCATCTTCTTCAGGCAATGCTGTATCTTGAGCTTCCTTAAGATCTTTCTCAATTTGGTTCTGCCATTGTGGGTCCATTGTTACTTCTGGTGGTACTAATGCAGGCATAGCAACAAATTCTAGATTTCCATCACCAATCAACTTTCTGGCTAACCAAAGGAAGGGTTTTTCAAAATTGTAGTTTGATTTTGCAGAAATGTCATAGTACTGTAAACAAAAATATCAGTTTATTTATCAGGATGACTTTAACATGTAATCTTGACATTAGCAAAATGTCTTAGTATAGGAATTATTTAAAAGAGTAAGAAATTACCTGGAGGTTCTTTTTTCTGTGGAAAACGATCGTTTTTGCCTTGACTTTTCTATCTTTGATGTCTACCTTATTGCCACACAGAACAATCGGAATACCTTCGCAAACGCGTACTAAATCTCTGTGCCAGTTTGGTACATTCTTATATGTAACACGTGAAGTGACATCAAACATAATGATAGCACATTGACCTTGAATGTAATAGCCATCTCGAAGTCCTCCAAATTTTTCTTGACCAGCCGTGTCCCAAACGTTAAATCTAATGGGACCTCGATTTGTGTGAAATACTAAAGGATGCACTTCGACACCTAAAGTAGCAACGTATCTTTTCTCGAACTCTCCAGTCAAGTGTCGTTTTACAAATGTAGTTTTGCCGGTACCACCGTCGCCGACCAGCACACATTTAAACGTAGGCATATCATCAGCCATTCTTGTATTATAAAAATACTATTGCTGAAAAAATAAAATTAAAAAACTTACGGTCCTGTCCCATGACATTCCAAATAAGTACATGAAACCAAAGTTTACAAATTCTTAAATTATAATCTTTAAATAATATACATATTATCAAAATAAACTAATAGTAAAAAATTAAAATCACAAATAAACTGCCGGTGACAAGTTAAAATTGTTTTAAGTTTTCACTGAATGGCGCTCAAGCACTCTCACAGGAATTTAGCTCGACGGTACCGAACAAAGGTGTAAATTGCAATTGAACTACGAACGATTTATTGAAAATATATCAAAATACTTATAGTACGTAATGTATAGTATTGAATTATAAGATACATGAACACAAATTACCAAGATTATCTAAGAAAATTAAGATTAAACTCCGTGCTCTCAAAAGTCGTTACGGCTCACAATGGCGTCACTTGACTAAACGGAACAATTCATTGACAACGACAGGCGCATTGACATTACTAGTCATAAAAATGCTTTTCCGCAACTTTAAATTTTATTAAGTTATTGTAATTTTGGAAATTGTTAAAAGCTAATAAGAATAATAAAATAAAAATTAAATTCAATAAATATCTTTTATAAACTAGAATTCTTTTTAATACTTTTAAATTTACAAAGAACTATTTTGATATCCTCCTGGTACAATTTTACCGACAATGCTCTGACGTCATATTCTTATACGCTAATGTTACGCCATCTACAACATAATGAAATTTTTCTCAAGTATATTCTGACGGATGGTAGTTTCGTTCGTTCGTTGTATCGATTTTTTGAGTGAAATGAACTAGTGTTCGTGTCCTTTAGTTTAGTGACGTTTGTTAGAAAAATATCTGTGAATGGGATTGTGTAATAAGATAAAACGTTTATTTGGTGTGTGATATTCTATAAAGGATGACGAAGGACAGGTTAGCGGCGCTTCAAGCGGTAAGCTGTTTTCTTTCCTACTCCAAACCTGATAATATAACCAATGGGTTTTCGTGACCTCGAATTCACAAAGTAGTGGTATTATAGGTATAAAGTATTCATGGATTACTGCAGCTAGATTATGCCTTTGAGGCTTAATTCTCTTATCAACAGTGTCAATTTGAGCTATTTCAGAGACTATTTTATTTACTGTACGCCCCACCCGTGATTTCTTTAGTGAAGGATAGCTATTGGTCTGTTTTATATAAAAAGAACTAATTATTACTTTGCAGTTTAAAATGTATTTTTTGCAGCTCATTCCTATCTCTTATAGAGCTAGAAATCTGTTGCAAAAATTAGAAATAGGTTGCCTAATTACTTTCTATGCCTACTACCACTACAAAATGTAGTATATGGTAGAGCCATGATGCAGCTATATTATGGTTGTAGCATGAATGGGTTGTCTCGACTGGAGAAGGACCATGCTCTCATAGAATAACTGTGTTAAATAGTATCTCAATGCTGCTGTGTTTCGTATGGTGAGTGTAGATAACCAGAGACCCATTTTACTGGAAAAGAGACATTCCATCCCAAGATGGAATGTCTCTTTTCCAGTGATGGCAATGTATCTGTATTTTAATTCTTAATCGAGGATAGATGTAGATGTCTATGGGCCACAGCATCCACTTACCATCAGGTGGACTATGTGCTTGTTTGTCATTGTATTATATATCATTAACACATTTTTAGCAGTTTATCATATTCTGTACTGTTTCTAATATATTTCAGTATCATTAATATTGTCACAATGGAATTGTCAATTCAAAGTAGTTAGATAAGGATCATATAAGAAGTTGTTATCTTTCTAGGTATGACACAAAAAATAAATTTTAGTTTTCTTTTTGATTTATGAAATTCAAAAATTATTGTTAAATTTATTACTTCCAGCAAGTTTTTGCTATGTGAATCAAAGACCTAAATACAATATTATCAAAGGCTATATTGAGAAAAAAAATATGACTCGGCGTGTAATGACTTCTTTTAGAAGAATTCACTGCTGAGCATGATCTTTCATGTTTTCTTACTAGAAGCAAACTAAAATTTTGTACAAGTCCATGTTCACCACATTGTCCCATTAATAGGTTACCTGGGGCAAAAAACAATAATTAGGTACCTATCTCACTTTTGCAAATTTTCCGTAACTTAAAGTTAATTTCAATTATTTTTAAATGTTACTATTATCAATGAAGGTCACCAGTTATCACACTGTTAATATGCTTTTTTTAAACTGAATACCTACCCTAGAAGTAATGTGTTTATTTTTCTAGAATTATACTACAAAGTAAAAACTTAATCATGTTTTCTTAAAAAAGTTTATACAATGCTTATAAGGAAATGCATATTATGATAATTACTAGGTATATCTTGAAGGAAAAAAACAAGATTGTATGATCTCTACAAGTTGACAATGAAAAATATGAAGTGTTAAGGAAAGTTAGGTATAAAGTATAATTTTTCTGAATAATTAGTAGTACTCTGCCGAGATCTCGACTGGCTTTCAAGTGTAGTGTGTATAAAGAAATGTCTCTCAAGTAAACCTAGCAATAGATTCAAAATAGCTGATGATGATGATGAAATTCAAATAATATAAGGCCGTGTGAGGCATTTAAATAGTAACCATTTATCAAATTTATTATAATGTGTAATCAAATTGCTATTTATGTGTTACTAATAATAAACTTATTTTTCTGTCTTATTGACTTTTGACATGGCCTGTTCAGACAGGATTGCCAGTTATTGCAAATATGCCATTAAAAAATACTAGTGTAGGACTTTAATAAATCTTTAACTTGATGGGATGATGATATATTATATTCAAAACTAAAGCATTTTTTTACATAATCTAATTGTTTTGTATTGAATTTGTTTTATTTAAATACAATTTAAAGAAATATAATGTGGTGTTCATTCAACCCATACTGTCAGTTGTTCCTTTTTTGTTTTTCTTCTCTTTCCTTTTTATGTATTTTCTTTAGCATGCATTATGTTAATACAGTAAAAGTTCATATGAATTTGTAGTTATAAATGGTATCAATTAGTTACAGTAATAACATTACTAACCAATGCAAGTAAGTTTAAAAAGGTTGTGTAAACAGTGATTCATGATCATAGACTAATGGTGGATTCAAAACCACAGGCTTTTAAGTTTTGTATTCCATAGTTTTAACCATTACGCTTCTGTGACTTCATCACAAATAATTGTCCTATGAATTAATGAATTTATGGTATATGTTCTGCTCATAAGAAAAAAGTGGATGGCCATAATTATGCACCTATCTACATTGGATTATGCTAACTACCTCCGAGTTATTATCATGGAGTGGTTTATTTTTATTTTAGTGAACTTTACCTCTAGTGTTGAATATTTTCAGATATAAATAGCATATACACAGACACCCACAACCTGAACAATTATACACCTCAGCAAAATGCTTAACCACTTTCAAGTTAAACTTAACTACCAAACTGTTGGGGTAGTGTTAGAATTTTTACCATTGTTTTTTTTCCTGTTAGCCGATTTAATTTCACTAAATTACACTTGATTAACAGGCAATCATGCTATGTAGTATCACTGTGCTTACTTATCAGTTGACAGCGGCGCCAGCATCCGGCATGCGGCCTTCGTTATATTTGAGTCACTGTTCACTGAACATCACTCATACTTGTGTCATCAATCTTACCAGTTGCATTTTTAAAACATCTATTAAATTGTTAAACTTTGCTTCCTAAAAAGTCATGTTTTATTAAATAACAAAATGAGATCAGAATGTTCTTAAATCTAGCGCTTTATGGTTTCCAGTATTGTAAGTGTGTTATTACTTAAGAAAAATTTCATCAAAATTCGGTCCAGCCATTTTAGAGTTTTTGCGAGACTAATGGACAGAAATTGATTTTTATATATAGAGTCGAGAGATATTTCCCATGGTGTCTCCTTACGACACCCACGGAACGAAATAAGGTGATGGATTCTTTTACGTCGCCACCAAAAGGTTAATTGATATAACTATGGTTCTATCACATAAAAAGCTCTTATCCATGAAAGGGGATACGCAAAATGTATGGTTTATGATCTGGATAGTGTACCTACGTACTGGATGTTAAATCTAAAAAAAAAATCAAACATTTTATTTGATTACTAGCTGTTCCTCGCGACTTCGCCCGCGTATTATTTGGGGTTTCCATTTTTTTTTGCGCGGAATATCCTAATTCTTTTTCTAAAATAAAAGTACCCTAAGTTACTCCTTGTGACATCAGCTATCTGCCAGTGAAAATCCCGTTAAAATCGGTCCAGCCGTTTCGGGGATTAACCGGAACAAACAGACAGACAGACAGACAGACAGGCAGACAAAAACTTTAAAAGTTGTATTTTTGTCATTAGTACTTACTGTAATTTTGACATTACGAACAGACACTTCAACATGTGTATAATATGTTTATCGTGTGGTAGGGACGTAAAAGAATCCACCAGTTTCGTCTCGTCCCGTAAGCGTCGCAAGAGACGACTACGGGAAATGCCAGAAAAATCTCGTGGTGGCGGTAGCACCACATACATACACAGAACCATACACAAAACAGAGATAGGAAGCAGCATCAAAGGCGTGAAACATCTGGTACTGTGATCGGCAATATGCCTGATGATGCCAAGCGTGCTGATTGCGACAAATTCTCCCTACTGTGGGCTTTATCAAACTGGACTGTAACGGGCTAATGGATAAGATGTGTATGTGTCGCAATGGTCGCAGCCAACTAGCTTAATTAACCTTTTAGTTAGCAGTCTAATGTTTTTCTAAACGGCGCTGTTTAACTAACGGCCTGAATGACATTCTGACGATGCGTAAAATACAAAACTGCCCATATTTTGAACTATCAGCGACAGTAGGTTAAGGTGCGACTGGAGTGGCCCTTGGGCCAACCTATACCCGCGTACATTTATATAGCACATAGCGCTAATTATGCCCAGACCAGCGACCTTCTCGTTGAATTAAATTAATAAGGTAACCGTGCAATGTAATGTCTAGGCTCTAAGCTGTTAACTGAAAGGCTAATTATTATTAAGTTAGTTGGCTCCGACATAATATGCATAATAATCAACAGCCTCTTTTGAATTTGAAGTTTAAGCTGATGATTTCTTTGAAATGGCTACGATTGGTAGCCAGATGGGCGATAGCAGTACTGTAACCTCCATTTAATTTAGTTGACTTTAGCAACGACGACGAGACGGTTTGATGGTTTATGCTACGCAATCTATACACGTCTTTGCGTTAGATACTCGTAGTATTGCATGTTTGTAACTCGCCATAAATCAATATAGACCAAAGGCACATTGCTAGGTAGCTAGTGTTGGTATTATTATTAGAAACATTTACTAGAAATTCACAATTCCCATCGTTATTAGAATTTGGTGTCATATTAATCGCGGATTCTAATAAAAAGCGAACACACGATAATTTCGAACGCCTATAAAAGTGTTACGTAAAAGTATCCACTTCATATCTTGCTGAGAGGATAGTCTCAGGGAGGGTAGCGTTCTGAATAGCTGTTTTGCCCCCCCCCCCCCCCCCTCCTCCTCTCTCTTTCTTCTGCACCCCTATTTATCTAATATTTTAAATCACATGCACTTGCAACAGCTGATTCGCTGCTGAATAGTGTAACGTCGTTTCTATATTTAGCGTTAGTCTAGCGTACTGTCTGCTAGGTGGATGCCCCTAATACTAGCCTTTTAGTGCCAATTGTTTCTTTAGAAATTCGTACTACTTTAACTAGAACACAATAATTATGAACATTTGTTTCAACCAATAACTTACTTATCCACGAATGTAGTAATACACATTCATGATAATAAAATTTTTGGAAGAACAATTTTAAAAACGATGGTAAACAAAAAAGGCATTCTGAATCCCATTCCAGCCACCTTTTACCGAATGCCATCCTTTTGTGCCTAATGTCAACTTAGCATATAG